TGACTGCGTTTTCTCTTTCGCTTTCTCCTGTGGGCTTGCTGACTGCGTTTTCTCTTTCGCTTTCTCCTGTGGGCTTGCTGACTGCGTTTTCTCTTTCGCTTTCTCCTGTGGGCTTGCTGACTGCGTTTTCTCTTTCGCTTTCTCCTGTGGGCTTGCGTACAGACTGCTGCCACGCCGGCTGGCTAGGTCGCTCTGTAAGTAAGGCTTTTTCCCTATTAAATACCCTTATATTTCCACCTGACTCCGTATTGGTAATTTCCCACTATAATGTAGTCTTGGCCCAGTCGGGATCACAAATTCTGTGTGCTGTTCCCGAGGAACTGATTCCTGGAAGAGCTGCGCCAATGGTGCTGGTCTAGTAGTTCACTGGGCTCTCAACACTTGATGGCTCCTCTAGACCAAAAGTTCTTCCACAATCCTCCCACAAACTTGGTCAGGTCTCTCACAGCAATAGTCCACTCTCTGATTACCAATTTCTGTCTTAATTGGGGTTTCTACTGTTATGATAAAACACCATGACCAAAAGCAACTTGGGGATGAAAGGGTTTCTTCTAATTGTATATCCATGTCACAGTCATCACTGAAGGAAGCCAGGGTGGGGACTAAAAGGAGGAACTCAAGGCAGGAACTGTAGCAGAATACGTAGATGAGAGCTGCTTACCAGCCAGCTCCTCAAGGCACCCTAGCCTGCTTTCTTATATCACACAGGACCACCAGGCCAGGGGTGGGAGGTGGGGGGCAGAGCACCACCCACAATGGACTGGACATCAGATCATCAATCAAGAAAATGTAACACAGGCACAATTTGGTGGGACATTAAAAACTATCCAAGCACGGCATGTGTTGGCTGGTATGCCCCAGGGCATTCTTCACTGGGTAAATGTGCTATGTTTTCAGGTTCCTAATTCCCCACACCCGGGGTCACCAAATGAAAAGTCCAGGGCTATTGAACCACCAATCTAATACGGCCTTAGAACCAAAGGCCTCAAGACAACGTGACCACAGCAGAGCTGGACCAACCACCCAAGGGTTCGACACTTGGATATTTAAAGCATGACCATACTGAGAATAATCCCCATTCTTTCGGAGCTTAACATGCCTTCCAGAGTCAAGAGGAAAGCACAGGTGGTGCCCCGGTGCCTTAAAAATCCATTTCTACATGTAAACGTAAGGTTCTTGAGACACTTCACTTTTCTGTAACAGTCTGAGTGTGTTCTTTAATATGTTTTTAATTCTCGAGCAGAAAATATTCGAGCTCCTGTCTCTACAAAGAGCTTTTGCAGAAAAATGAATAGGGAACCATTAGAATGGAGTCTGATGATGCAACAATGCCATGATGAAGACTGTAACTACTCGCTCACTTGAAAAGTGGTCACCACAGAGAACAAACACAGCAAGGAAGTGCGGTCTTTCAAGGCTTATACTGAGAGCCCCTTGAAATGGGAAAAAAAAAAAATTAATGAAAGTCTAATAACTTAGACTCCAAAGTCCATACTCAAAAAAAGAAAACTTTCAAGCTCCTCTGTGCTCCCCAAAGGCATTCAACAGACAGGGTTAAACAAAGAACTGGGTATGTGACTCGAGGCCTGAAACCAGACAACACAGCTCAGCTGTGTCCACATTTCTCTGTCCTACAGAAGATCAGATAGCCATCAACTCACGGTTGTAAAAATCTCTGGCCTAGGAGATAAGTACCAAACTTACTTCCCCTACAATTCCCTGCTTAGTTGCATCCTGCTTAAACATACAATTATTGTTTCATCCTATGTAACCATGGAAGCTTTGTGATCGAGAGAATTTTTTAAGTCTTTTGAACTTTCCCTTTAAAAACCTCCCTCAGCTGTAAGCGGTATTCTGCTTGCTTCTGAGCAGGCAGGATTCATGCCGCAGCATGACAATAAAGAAACCTTTGTTCTTGCATTCGGTCAGTCGCCTTCTTGGTGGTGGGTTTTTGGAGTTCCACAAGCTGGGCTTAACACAATGAGTTGGCCATGGCTCCCCAAGGTGACAGCTACTAGAAATGAAGCCTTAGGAACTGGCCACATCTGCTATTAACGCTTTGTAGCACAGCACTGCCATGTGCTTTCTGAGAGGCCAGCAAATTCCCCTGGCGTTTGTTGAGGTCACAGAAGCAAGATGGGGGAACCATGCTGGAGAGAGACAAGGCACACTCCATGCAGCCCTAGGAAAGACCTCCAGAGTCTCGGGCAAGATCAGCTGACTCACTCACTGTCCCCCTGTGCTTGGTCTGCACCCCCTAGACAGGGCAGGAAAGGGAAGGTGTCCCCATTGTTCCCTGGCTATCACAACTGTCTTAGATTTCTGTGTGTCCTGGAGGTTTTACACTTTCCTGCCTACCCTAGAAATGAGCACGTGTCATAAAAACAACAGAACTCTAGGCAATGACTCGAATTTTAAAAAGTCAGCTAAAGTTTTATACACATTCCATTTGTTAATTACTCTTCCCAGTGTCAGCCAAAGCCTTGGCCAGCATGCGTCCCATGCTTACCTTAGGATGGCAGGTTTCCTTTCAGATTGAAAATTAAAATTGAAATGCTCTGAAACCACGTGAAAAAGATTTAGTTTTCCTTGTTATAAGTCAGGATTTTGCTTTCCTTGTTCTTTATTGTCTGTATTTCCCAGCATAAGCCTGTTATTTTGGATGCCCTATATGCCCTGGCATTTCTTTTGGAGAAGTGCTTTCGATGCACACATAGGCTCCACTGTTGGCACATCCTGGAATACTTCACAGTTTGCTTCACGCTGCAGACACTGCAGAGATCCTGCCAGCACCCCATTGCCCTTGTCATCTTAACGAAAGGATGCATGGATCCCCCACCCTACTCTATAGGAAAGGTGGGCTGGATCCTCCCACCCTACTCTATAGGGAATGTGAGCACCCAGCCCAGAACAAACCTGGAATAAGCAGCAGGCACAGAGTCAATAAGTGTTTCCCAGTCCAAATACCCCTGAGTCTGGCATTCTTCTATCTACAATGACTTCATAAGGGGAAAGCATTGCTCTAACAAACAAACTCCATTTCCCCAATTTCTCCAAATCTCTATTTGCAAGCACTTTCTGGTAAGCTCTGTACACTCGCATGGAGTCAGTGATCCGATGCCACTGTAGCAAAAAGTCGTGATGACTGAAGATGCCGCTTTCCAGTGTATCCCAGACTGAAGGTCCCCCACTCCCTTGGGACCATCGCTGAGCACGTCTGGAAACAGCAGCGTGTTCAAGGGGCTGCTCACCTGCAGCTCACGGTAGCGGGCTTGAAAGGACACGGCATCCTGCTCCTTCTCCTTCAGGAAACCTTCCTCCAGGACACTGTGCTTCTCCATCAGCGAGTCCACATCCTACAAGGAGGAACCCAAACACAAGCTCTGCAGTGCTCCATGGCATGAAATACTTCAGTAAACAGAAAATACGCCAGGGAAGAAAATCAGGAAAAATAGCTTAAAGTCTAAGAACTACATATGGGTGAAATCGCCAAAGTTAACTGACTTCTAGGCCAATACCAAACCCTGAAGTAACATTAAAATTAATAACTGTACAACAGTGGGGCTGGGGAGGAGGCCCAGAGAGTAAAATGCTTGTTATACAAGCATGGAGGATCCCCCCACCCCCCGTACCCACATAAAAAGCCAAGTGTGTCCACAAGCATCTGTGGGTATCCACAAGAGTCCACCTGAGTGGAAACAGTGAGCTCCAGGTCAAGAGGAGACACAGTGTACAATGACAGATGAAGACTTCCTGAACTGATCTCTGGCCTCCACAGACCCATGGGCAAGTCCTCCGACATGTATACAACCATGTACAAACAACCATGTACATACAACCATGTACATACAACCATCGGTACACAACACAAACACAAAATGGGGTCAATAAGAACAAGAGTGTCTCAACAAGTACAATGAATACCCAAGCTCTTTAAGTACTTCCGATAGACAGACAGACAGACAGACAAAGAGAAGTACATATGGGTGGACAAGTGGACGGAAACAGACGGACCGAAGGATAAAGAGAGATGATATACAACTGACAGATGATAAATGAGAGAAGACAGGTAGACGGATAGACAGACAGATGGAAGGACAGAAGGGAGTTGAGAGTATATGCCAGTTCCTTCCCTCAACAGCTGTGTTCAAACACCCCAGGGGTACCTGACTTCCCACAGGGAGAAGATAACACATAAAGCCTGAAATCCACACATGACATAGAACGCTGCCTACAGAAATGGAAGCCTCAGAGGAGCAAGAAATAACAACAAAGAGCCCAGAAAAGTCCATGCATGCCTTAGTTTAGTGAGAGATCTACCAGACGCACCTGTGGCACTGACCATGCAGTCACAGGTGTGTACGTGTGGGATTTGGTCAGGAGTCTGGGACAGGTTTGCTCTCTCTTGGTTCTGGTCGAGTCACAGAGAGCAACTGGGAGTGGATCCTCAGAGCTGGAACTTGAGGGTTATCGGTTTCTCATGTAAGTGACTTCTCCCTGAATAAAATTAACCTATATTTTCCTAGTCCTGTGTATCTTAATCTGTACATCCACACCTTAGAACCACGCTCAACCTTTCAGCTCATGTGGGTCCCAGTTGACACCAAAGCCTCGGGATGCTCAAGTCCGTTATAAAAACAACAACAACAAAAAAAAAAAACAAAAACAGCACACCATTTTCATATAACCTACACACTCCTACCACACACACTAAATTATCTTCAGCTACATAAAATATATACAACAAAAAGACACAAACTGTTGTATTGTTTGTGGAAACAGGAAATGGAGGTCTGTCAACATATGCCTACAGCACATAGAAGTTGTGTCCCTGAGTGTGTCTGATGTATGGTTGATTGAATCAGATGGTGAATGCTAATATCTTCTTCCACTAGAGACTTTTGTTCAAGGTTTATTTAGTTTTTATTTATGTATATGTCTGTTTGCCTGCATGTATGTTATGTGTACTACATGCATACAGAAACCCATGGAGGCCAGGAGGAGGCATGGAAGTGGAGTGAGAGACAGTTGTGAGCTGCCATGTCGGTGCTGGGAACCAAACTTGGATCCACTTGCAAGAACAGCAAGTGCTCTTAACGGCAGAGCCGCCCGTCTCTCTAGCCCATGACTAGAGGCTTCTAATAAAGTGACTCCACTGAGGATCTCATGTGACTGACATGAACCTCCACCCCTGGGGAAGACAATACATTCTTTGGTGAATTTTCAACTCACTTTGGGCTATAACAAATTGCTAGCACATACAACTCTACATTCCCAGGCAAATGTGCCCCCCCCACCCGTCCCCTGGCCCCCTGTGTGCGCGCGCACACACACACAAACCTTTTTAATTCTCAGCTTCTCCTCTTCAGACGCTTTCAGTTTAGTCTCCAGACTTGAGATCTTTTGCTGGAGCTGTGCGCTGGCCACATCAGCCCCAGGACCCTCGGGGTCGTCCTCCAGTGCAATTGATCCATGGCTTGCCTCATCCGTTAAGCCAAGTGGGAAGAGTGGGATATTCAGATGTGTGTGCGCCGACTGCTGAATCTAAACCGTGTTGGCAGAGAAGGGTTAGGCCATCCCGTTAAGCAAATGGTCAAAGGGCAACGTAAATCACATTTAGAATTAAGTTGTAGTGAAAGCGATGAAATTATTTCCCCCTCTAAGTGAACCAACGAAAGATTTCAGATTATTACAACAGCCTGATATTTGAAATCTAAAGAAACATTCTCTCTAACATCTATAGTCCTCACTACTTCGGGGTTGCTGCTAACACACTAAGACACTTAAAACCTTTATGTGCAAAAATGCACAATGGAACACAGACACATCTGAGAGACACGCACTCTGGAATGTATACACAGACCTAGGACTCATTTATAATAAAAGTATAACTCAGAATTTAACATCCATTGATTATGCTAACTTACCAAACTCCAGGAAAAATTAACAGGTTACCTAAAATCACAGGTGACACTTAACAACTTTATAATTTTATAACTGAGTTTTGGGACCCTGCCTCCAGGACCCAGCATGATCCCTACCCCTGCAGATACTGACTGGATGAATACACTCTGATGACGTTGCCTTTGGGGCTTTTACCCTAAAGCTGAAGTCGATGCTCCTGTACCTAAAAACGTGTTAAAACTCCTAGAAAAGAAAAACTATCATTTCTAATAACCATTTCCCTTTTTGAAGTTTAACTTTGAATTTAAGTTTGAAATGCAAAAACAATTATTCTTTTTCTTTGTTATTAGTCTCCTTTAAGACCAAGATAATTACATGTCAAGGTAAATCCGTTGCCATGACCACGCACAGCTGTGCACCATAGCAAAGCACCGACTTTGGTGACAGAAATGCCACGGACTGTGTACAGACAGGCTGGATGTTCTTCCAGTGCAATTGAACGCACAGTTAAATTGTAATGTGGTCAAAAATAGTCAGCTGTGTGTCCCGGCTCTGTCCCTGCAGCCCGCCAGTAATGCTGCTATAGGAAGTTTCACCCTGTGTGCCTCAGTTTCTCTTTCTCACCTTTCAACAGGGGAATCAGTGGTACATTTGTTTTCTTTCAAGATTTAACTTTACCTGGGGGAAGAGGGCTGCCTGTGTGTGGATGTCTGCATGTGTTTGAGGTGACACCCCATGGAACTGTTTGATGCGGGTGCTGAACCCATCTCAGGGTCTCTGCAAGAGCACTAAGTACTCTCAGCTGCTGAACCCTCTCGACACCCCCAGTACTGCTTACCCTGGTGGTTGGAAGAATCTGTGCTCTGGCTGGTCTTTAAGCTCACTGGGTGTTTACAGAATGAGTCCTGCCGGCTACCTTTCTTTTTTGAATCCAGTGTCCTCTGGGCCCCTAAATGGAGTCATGGGCCGGAGTACCAAGTCAATTTTAGCAAGTGTGACACTCAGAGCAAACTTTTGTAACTGGGGCACTTAAATCTTTTGCAATCATGTCTCAGCAGTTTATCTAGTTTTGTTGTTGTTGTTGTTTAATTCTAAATCTTGGCCTCAAAATTAGAGTATCTATTTATTACAGAAGCATCTCTTTTGGGAAAACTCATTTTCGAAAGAGGTCATAAGAAGGTGAATTAAATCAAGGTGCAGTTTCTATGTGCAAACTTCCTTCTGAAACACGGCCTGCACTCACCTGAGCTTTGGGGATGGTCTGACTCACAAGGCCACTGTCTGCACGGGTGTCGTCCGGTGATGAAATAACAGCATCTGAAGAGAGGCGGCCAGAGGACGGAGATGTGTGGTCATGGTCCAGGATGAGCTCCGGAGACGCTGGTGAGAGATGCACTCCGGATACTGAGGGTGGAAGCACAGGAGTGATTTTTGGGAGACGGAATAGAGACGTTGGGGTGGGTGGACAGGAGAGGGCACGGCAGTTAGAGCAGCCGAGTTGAGAACATTAGGGCTCATGTCTGAAAAGGAGTGTTTCTGAATTACACGTGATGTTTCCACACGAGCTGCAGACAAACAATATGTTCTAACATCTTTAACACACGCACTAGCCTAGCCCACTGGAGATGCTCGTTTCCTACTAGAGAAAAATACTCAACCTACAACTCGACACATCCACTCACTCACTCACTCAGGAGAGTCGATGGAACTTTTTTAAAGGGGCACCGGCCTGGTGTGGCCGGGAGTGCCGAGAAGGTAGAAGGCCTGGGGAGATGCTGTCAAACACTAGTGACCCTGGCTCCAATCACGCAGAGCCCAACAGCTAAACGTTCACTATGACAAAGGGAAGACGAAGGGAGGACGACTGTAACACCCTGGAAGTTCCTCTTTTGTAATAATCTCCTTTAAGTGTCATGTTAAAGTCAGTTTTCACTTACTGGACTGTTTTCACAAATGTGACGTTGAGAGAGTTTTGGAGATCCACAATAAACCAGTTATACTCTGCTTAAGGCTCTCATTGGAAGGTTAGGGCAGCAGCTGATGGACAAGTACCAAAAAAAAAAACAAAAAAAAACAAAAAAAAAAAAACAGGTATCTATATTATTTTATTTTTAAGTGCTTCCAAAAAATCCAAATGAATCTAACATGTTCTGAAATTTAAGGAGTCATCTTCGGCAGTCTACCCATTCACACACCCAAGCCTAACTGCAATGACCTTTATTCCACATCGGCATCAGTGACTCTGTCCTCGGGTCCCACCACAAACTCTGAAGGTGGTTCACAATGGAGATTTCGTGTTCCCCTGAGGAAAGACACATAGAAGGCAGTGAGCACTAATGACCTAAAGGCACAGGTTTCTGATGGTCACTTTAAGGAACTACTTAATTATGTAAAATTGTATTGTATCTAACAATGCTGTGGGTTTGAGAAGAGTATGCTACACTCTGGAAGAAACAGGTGGACAGGATGTAGATACAGTAACCACGCATGGAACTCTCAAAGAAAATTGACTTTAAAACAGGAAAATCATTTAGCTGCAGAATCAGTGTGCATGCATATGTGTGTGTATGCATGGTGTGTGCATGAATACACACGTGTGTGCACACATACATACGTGTGTGTGTGTGTGTGT